GATTTGGGAAAAAAGTCGGTCGGTAAAAAAAAGGAGTCAGAAGACTGGTGACTGCCATATTTAACAGTCCCCCCACGAGGAATGTATGTGGCACAAGGCCGAATTTAACGTGGGTTTCTCCGAGCCCGTAGGCTCGGCCAAAATATTCCCTTAGAACCAGCATAAGCGGGTTCGGTATCTGTCTACCTCCCCGGACGAGACTTTGCCCTTCGGTAAAGCTTCGTCCGGGTTCCTCTATGACAAAGCAGAGAGTTCGGCAGAAGTCGCACACAGTCAGAGACTGCGGGTCGACTGCCTCCTTAGGAAGTCTCGCAGGTTAGTATTTATGAAGGAGAAAGAGATCATTCTAATGGAGATAGGTCACCATAACAGTTTTGCCATTGGAATTAAAAAAGATTTTCTTCTTTTTTACAATGCGAAATGATTTAATTGTTTGACAAAAGCAGTTTTCTTATAACAGCATGACCTGAAGGTGCTTTAACGAAACCTGAATCAGAGCGGTTTTTCATACTATTTTCCGCCCAATACAAAGCCCAAAAGCCACTCAAGGCAGAGGATTTCTGTATACAGTTACATGAGCTTAAGAGTTGTCAAGAATTGCAGTTTATGTAGGAATGATAACGGTTGTTCAGGAATCAATGTATCTGCCGATAATTTCAAATGTTTCTTCTTTTGTAAACTTGGAAGTTTTTTGAAATTCTCATTTGTCCATCAAATCAGCCATCCTGCCTATTTTGAAACTCGAGACTCGAAGCGAGAATGTGAAACTGTGAGTTTGAATTTCATTTGATTGTCTACACATGGTTTGTGTATGTTTACACCTGCTCAGAAGAAAACGATTTTCATCTTAACTGAGCAGATACAGGATGACGTCATCTTGTAAGTAAAACATTGTGATTCCAATATATTCCTTCTAAAATAGATAAAAAAATCGTTACGCTATTATTCAGCCAATGTAAGGTTGAAATGCCACTCAAGTTAGTAGGTTACGTAATGGGGTTGTTTTATGGACGTAATGGGGTTGTTTTATGGACGTATGAATTGTTGCATATGCAGGATGAATAAAACACATGTAAATAAAAAAAAGATATTCGACAAAGTAATGGCACGTGGTAAAAATGCCAGAATGTAAATCCCTTCTTACCAATGACACGCAGCGGGAATGATGGCGGTTCAACCTCATTCGGAGGAGGTAGTCAGGCGAATTTTAGCCTTAAACGCTGGCAATTCGTGACAATGAGAGAATGGAGCATGTGTGAACGTTTGCCATGTTAATATCGATAAACTTGCCACGTTGCATCCGTTGGAAAGTAGGGTAGGAGAAAAGTAGGCTTAGAGCAAAAACTGCCTGCAAAAACGGATTTTCAAAAGAACCATTTTCCACTAACACCGAAATTATTTTAACTATCATCACTCCTCGCCAATAATTTAAAAAGTGATGATTAGTATTGTAATAAACATATGAAAGTAAATTTAAATATTTTCTTTGCTTTTGAGAATTGACAACAAAAAATAAAGAATTTATTAGATTGTTTACTTACACTATTCATTTATAATATTCTTTATTGGAATGGCCGGCAAAATATCGGCTAATTGCCAATCAATCTGAAAGTTAAAAATTGGTAAATAATAAGTACTTCTTCTTTATAATTACTTCATATATGTTTATAATTTAGTCAATGTTTGTAAATTTATAAAGAAAAAATCGGTTTTTATTTATTTCTTTATAAAATGGTAAATCATAAATCTAAATCTAAAAGTGAATATTGAAGTCAACACTCAGAGGCCACAGGTTGTTTCATGCTAGATGCAATTATCAGGCCTGACGATCGCGTCCAGAATGAAACAACCTGTTGCTTCTGAGTGTTGACTCCAATGTTCACTTTTATATTTATATTTACACACGCTCTATCTCTGATATTGAGCACTTTATCCCATAAATATAGCCCACCATAAAACTATATTTCTTTATAAAATGTTAAATTATAAATATTGCATTACATTAGTTTTAATACTAACACGTTCGTTGTTAGAATGTTGTAAATATAAAATTATTCTTGTGAATAGAAATATATTGAATAAATTTTGATTAATATTTTGGGCGTAAATTCTAAAAAAATGAAGACAAAATGTATAAATTTACATGATAGGTTGAGATTTTATTCCAATTCTAATCATTGAATTTTAAAACAAAGGAGTGAAGGGATTTTGGATATAACGGCAGTGTCAGTGGAAAAACCATACTTTTCCTGCTGTGTTTTTTATTACGAGCACGACGGTCCAAGTCTTCCAAAAAAGTTATCACCTCCAAATGTCACTTGACCCTGTCAAGGCTAAAAACTGTAGATTCAGCAACTCCAGCTCATATATGAAATACTCAAATATTTTTCCGATCTTGTAAAGATAGAACGTGGCAGGTGTAGTCAGGTCATTTCTGGAGTGGTGCATGGTGCCGATCATTTTCGCATCATCATTAACTATGGATCATATAAATGGGTTCTCCTTGAGGTCTGAAGTAAACTCGACTCCAAACAGATTCTTTGAGTGCAACCATTCATCGTACTTTTGGGCATGAAATGTAAGATTGTTGATGATGGAAATTTAATAGCTTCGTTTTGTAACACTGGAAGTGATAAGTCAAGATGTTCCCCTGTTGGAAAGTTAGAGTGAGCTCAGATGAGAGATCAAGACAGAATCTGGTCATTCAAATTTTGAGAGCTGAAAACAAATTGTTGTAGCATCTGTATTTATATTTGTAAGGATCTGATAATTTTTTTAAGGCAGATCGATAATGTAATGCCGGAGAGAGTAGAATGGAGTATTGAGCCTTGATAAACGCATGCATTGATCACATAGGTTTTAGAATATTAAAGATTCAAGGGTATGAAAGAACCGATGATTGCGGGAACTCTCCTAGATATTCCATTCAATATGAAACGATGAATAATTTGTGCATTTTAGCACATAGAGAATCCAAGCGAATACATCTCAACACATATTTGACAATGGTTTCATGGCACATGTAAATGGACAAAAAGAACTTACGAGGGTGTGCTGAAGAGAACCGTTCAAGAAGCCAGCAACAAAACAATATGATGAGTCATTTGGACAGATGGATGGCCTGGAAAGATGGATATACATACATACATACATATATATATATATATATATATATATATATATATATATATATATATATATTGATGCATGTTTCATTAAATAATATAGACAAGTTTTGTCTATTTATTTTATGTAAATTCTTTTCATATCGTTCATTATCGTCTGATAAGCTTAATAGCATTATCCTTAAAAGAAGAAAAAAATTACATACATAAGCCATTATCAAAGATAATAATTGCATTTATATATATATATATATATATATATATATATATATATATATATATATACAATATATTATATAAGTAAACGCAGATACATATTTTGTACAGACCGAACTAATAGATAAAAATGTATCAGAAATTAAAGATGTTTGAAATAAGACATTAGAGCCTCACCTGGTGCCAGGCTGAATCTCGACTGTGCAGCGTGTTTCTCATGTATTTATTCCGCTGTGTTGCTACACCCTTACTCTCTACCGTGTTCCCTATTTCCAACAGCCTTGCTCTCAACTGTGTTCCTTATTTCCGATCGACCTATTCTCCTTTATGCAACCTCATTCCAAAAGAATTCCTATCCTCTAGGTTGCCATTTCCCCCACAGTCTCGCTCCCCACTGTTCTTCCTTCTTTCCCACAGAATTACTGTTCACATTGTAAGCTAATTCCTACGTACATGCACTTCACTTTCCTGTCTCTATCACACAGTCTAAGCCTCTACTGTACCGCCTGGGGTTTTCCACTTTCTTTCCATCTACTGTGTTGCTTCAGACTTATTCTCCACTCAGCACCCTACTCTCTACATTTCTTTTGCTATTCCACAGCCGTTCCCCCCTTTGTGATGGCACTTTTCCACAGCATTATTCGCCTCATTGCAACCAACCTAATCACCACAGTGGTGCATATTACCACAGTCTTAATCTCCACTGTGATGCTTATATCTCACAGAGTTATTCTCGAAAGGAAACGTTGACGGTAGAGATAGGGGAAATGAGACTACAATGGTGAATAAGGATTTGGTAAATAGGCAACAGTATGGAGAGAAAGGCTAAGGGAAATAGGCAGCACTCGGGGAGTAGGGCGATAGGAATGAGGCTTCTAAGGAGATAATAAGTCTGTTGGAAAGACACAGAACTGTGTTGTATGGTGATGGGAGTGAGGATGCAGAGTGGGAACAAGTTTATGGGGAAAGTTGCAGCAGAGTGGAGTGAAACGCCGTGGGAAACGGGCAATAAAGTGGAGAGAGAGAGAGAGAGAGAGAGAGAGAGAGACTGTAGGGAAAAAGCAAAACACTGGTGTTGAGTACTGTGAGGCAAGAGTTTGAAGAATAAGCCTATAAAAAATCAGGTAGAGTGTAAAGTTGTTTCATAGATTCAGCACAGTGTTGAGTAAGGCTGTCTGAAAGAGGCAACACAGGGAGTGAGGCTCTAGAGAAAAGTCAACTGTGTTAAGTAAGACTGTGTGGTATAGACATCCCAGTGGGTAGTAAGGCTGTAGGAACAAGGTCTCGCAGGGGAGAGTGGGCTTTACGAATGAAGCTACAGAGTGGAGAATAACGATATGGGAAAGAGGGGCCTCATTCCTACAGCATTCCTCTCAACTATGCTCTCTGATTCCTACCGCCATAATCTCCACACTGCTGACTCCTTCGACCAGCTATACTCTTCACTGTGTTGCCTCTCTCCCACAGCATTACGCAGTGCTATGCTGCCTCGTTCCCACACCCTTATTCTCCACTCTGCATCCTCACTCCCCAAGCTTCATCTTTCCAACTGCCTTTCTTTTTAGAGTGTATCCGCTTTCCCACACGCTTACACTCCACTGTGCGTCTTCATTCCCTTAATCTTATTTTTGCATCTTTCCAACAGCCCTCCTCTCCACAATGGCGCATAAACCAACAGGATTTTTCTACACACTATTTTCTTTTTCCCCACAGCCTTGCTCTCCACTGTACTGCCTCTTTGACACAGCCTTACATTCCACTCTACCACCTGCGGTTTGCCACACCCTTTCACTCTATTTTGATACCTATTCCCCACAGCCTCAATCTCCACTGTTAGTTTTTTTACACAGATTTAGCCTCCACTGTTTCATTTCCAGAAATCCCCATTTGATAGGCTTTATTTCCACAGCCTTATTGTTCACTCTGTAGCACTGTGTTAATATGCCCTGTTTATTGCCATAGCGATATTCTTCATTTTCAGCCTTATACCCACCACTCTACTCTCTGCTTCTCTCAAGAATATTATTTTCTATTGTATTGCCTCTTTCCTACATATTCTCCACAGCCCCTTTTCTCCACAGCTTTACACGTCAACGTGTTACCTCTTTTCCACAACATTATTCTCCAATCTGCAGTCTATTTCCCACTACACTACCCACCACAGTGATGTCCATTTTCCGCATAATTACTCTCAAGTGTGTTGCCTCTTTCATACATTTTATCATCTACAATTTAATACTTTTCCCCACAGGCTTTCACACCACTATGCTGCCTCTTCCCCATAGATTAATTGCTACACTGCCGCCTCACAACCACTAACCTATATTTTAGACTTTTTATTTCCTCAATAATGCATCCTTCCCACAACATCACTCTCCAATCTGTTACCTCATTCCCATAGATTTCTTCCCACTCTGCCGGTTCAATCCTGTACTCATACACTCTCAAGCTTGTCTCTTCACAGTGATACCTCCTTCCAACATCCTTACTCTCCACTGTAATACGCCATTCCCATAATTCTCCATTACGTAGGCTCATTCACATTGCTCTGTATTGCCTATTTCCCATAGCCTTTTATCCTACAGCGTTGCCTCTTTCCCACATGATTACACTCCACTGTGTGGGCCTTTTGCCACCGCCCTATTCTCTAATTTGCTGCCTCTTTCCCATAGCCTTTCTCTCCATTCTGCAGATTCAATACCAACGCCCTACAGCCAAACACTGCATAGATATTCTAAGAACAGTTCTGCATGATTCCACAGCCCAACACTCCATTAGTTGGCATTCATGCTCTCAGTTCCACATTCCACTCTTCAGACTCTTTCTTCTCCTCACACTGTAGACTCAATCCCACTGATTAACGCTGCACTATGCCACCTTTTCTACAAAGCCTTATTCTCCTCTCTACTGCCCCTTTTCCACACTTATTCTCCACAGTGTTTCTACCTTTTCCCCACATTGTTTCTATCCCCTGTGCACCCTCTTAACCACAGCCTTACTCTCCTCTATGCACGTCGTATTCTTGCAGCCATACCCTCTATTATATTGCCTTTTTCCACTGAATTATTCTTCACCGCCTTTCACAAAGCCCTATTCGCCATTCTTCAGCCTCATTCCCACGAATTTACCTTCAACTCTAAAGACTATTTACCGCATAATTACGCTCCCCAGTGCTGCCTTTTTTCCGCAGATGTAAACAAACGTTTGTCTCATTAGGTACAATTCTGGGGGACAGATTATGGTGAGGGTGCTTCTCTGAATTCTAAAATCTTAACTGTTTAATTCAAGGCTTAGTTATTTCCAAGGCATCTCCTAATATTAACTATCTATCTTTTCTTTCATTCATTTCAACTTCCTCATACATAAGTACCATTTTGATAGTAATTGTCTACCTTGAATGACTCACGATGTTTGTATTGGGATAATTATAGTATAAAACACTTTATTAAATATAGATTAGGTTCTGGAAAACGTTATGCTACGTTTCTTTAGCGAGTTATATATATATATATATATATATATATATGTAAAAAGAAATATTTTGTAGTGGTTCCAACGAGAGAAAAGTATGTATATTAAAAAAGAAGAGGGTGCCGCAAACGTTTTTTGGTTGTAATGTGGATTTATTGAGAAAAAATTATACTTTGTTTTACATAATTTCACGACACGTGTTTCTGGTCTGGTCTCGCAACTGTCTTCAATTTTTACATATTATTAAAAATAATTAATTTTCTTCATGTTCAATGTGGAATATTCTCGATATGAGACATTCTGTTTGTGTTGGCAATGAATTTTCTTTTTCTAGAATTGTCAATGAAGAGTTCCGTGAAGGGTCATAAAACAATTAAGGTTTTCCAGCGAGTAGTTATCGGCATTTAATCTTTTAATGTTTTAGTGACCTCTATGTGCTCTTGGATCTTTTTCTATTTTGGCGTGTTCCTGTCAACGTGTATATATGCGTGCGTATATTTCTTACGAGGAATTCGTAAACTTATTTTCCTTATACACGCATACACACACATACGCACATACACACTATCCCACCACAAGTAGTGTACACACACACATATACACACATATTTCCCAAGCTACATGGAACCAGTACACACACACACACACACACACACATACACACGCACACACACACACACGTACTTCTTTGTACCAAAAACAAGTAATTTCTACGGACTCTAAAGTTCATAAATCGAGAAATAGCTATACATACAAAAAAATTGAATACATTACATCCCAAAAAGTGACCTTACATTCAGACCCATAGTAGCAGGACCAGTCTGTCCCACTAGCAAACTCAGTAACCTAATAGACATAATATTGCAAACCATATACTAAACAAATTAAAAGCCACATCAGAGACGATATCCATTTCTTAGCTGCATAAGTGTTTAAAAGGTAGATCCGGGAACGCTTATAGCAACTTTTGACATCATATACAGTAACATACCCCATGAACTAGGGAAAAAGCGATCTCATTCTGGATTGAAAAACATCCAGAAATACACATCCGAGATTCACTAAAGAGTTCATTATCGATAGTATAGACCTAATTTAAACAATAACACCTTTGAATTTTGACAACAAAAACTATATCCAAACCCTAGGTACTTGGGAACAAAAATGGCACCAACATATGCCACCCTAACATTAGCTTACCTAGAAGAAAACCTCTATGAAAAGATAGAACAAATATATGGGACAAATATAAAGACCCAATTCACTAAATCTTGAAAAAGATATCTAGATGATTGCTTCATCTTTTTGGAAATCATCATGGGGTGATATAACCAATTCCATACACTACTTCAAAACTTACACCCAAAAATCAAATTCACGCAAGAATATAATTTTAACGAATTACCATTTTAGATATACTCATTAGAAATAAAAACAACCACATAATCACAGATATACCACAAACCCACAGACACCCAACAATACGTTCATTTCAAGAGCCATCACCAAAAAGCTGCCTAAAATCCATCCCCTATTCCCTAGCACGTAGAATTTGTACAATAGTGACTGATAAACATCTCCGAAAAATCCGCTTAGAAGAACTACATAAAACTCTCAAGAAACGAGGCTACCCCACAACACTAATAAACAAAGGTATTGAACTCAAGGAAAGAAATAGACCAACTTAGAAATAAAAAGAAACGTAACGTCGAACAAACTCTAGCATATGTCTCAACGTACAACAAAAACAACCCAGAAATATTCCCAGAAATCACAAAAATCTAGATTTACTTAGCAAGAATAATAAACTGAATAATATACTAAAAACAACCAAAATAATTCAAACGCCAATCTAGAAACCTAAAACACATATTAACTCATCTAAATTTAGTCAACACAAAATACAGGAGTCACAAATGCAACAAAAAAGATGTGGAGTTTGTGACATCATTATAGAAGGAAACTTCTACACTTTTTGAAAACCCAAAAAACATTCACAATAAACAAAAAACTTAAACTGCAACTCCAAAATGTAGTTTATGCACTTAAATGCACAAAATGTAAGAAGTCATATATAGGCATCAGCCAACAACTGAACTCCCCAAAAGCAATATAAAATTGACAGACAACAGAAAACTTTTGTATCACAACACATTTTCAAATGTAAAGGGTAAGTTTAATATCATGCCGATATATCAAACAGACAATTACTCGTATCTACAAATACCTTTATAGACAAATTCAAAGAACTTAACCCCCCCCAAAAAAAAAAAAAAAAAAAAAAAAAACAAACATGCACACAGGGTGACCAAACACAATGATCGCTCACATACATGGACGCACACAATCGGGGGAGACACGAGGAGAGATTATATGTGTATGATACATTTATGTATGTATATGTGGGTGTTGACAACTTAAAAGTACGTGTGTGTGTGTGTGTGTGTGTTGCGTGTGTATGTATGTGTGTGTGTGTGTGTGTGTGTACTGGTTCCATGTAGCTTGGTAAATATGTGTGTCATGTGTACTGACTACTTGGGATAGTGTGTATGTGCGTATGTGTGTGTATGCGTGTATAAGACAAATAAGTTTACGAATTGCTCGTAGAAGGAAATATACGCACGCATATATACACGCATGCTGACAGGAACACGCCAAAATAGAAAAAGATCCAAGAGCACATAGAGGTCACCAAAACATTAAAAGATTAAATGCCGATAACTACTGCTGGACAAACCTTTTTAATTGTTTTATGACCTTCACGCAGAACTCTTCATTGACAATTTAGAAAGAAAATTTTCGAGAATATTCCACATTGAACATGAAGAAAATTAATTATTTTTAATAATATAAAATCTCCACTTTCACCTGAAGACGGTTGGCGAGACCAGACCAGAAACACGTGTCGTGAAATTATGTAAAACAAAATATTTTTTCTCAATAAATCCACATTACAACCAAAAAACGTTTGCGGCACCCCTCTTCTTTTTAATATATATATATATATATATATATATATATATATATATATATATAATATATATATGTATCTAACCACACATGAATATGGAAATAATGATTTCTAAATTTAGTTCACGATAACATTTTTGTATTTCAACAGGGTGTTTCCATCTAACTAGATCATTGTCGCATTCCGAACGACTCTTACAGTCATCTTTCCGATCTTCTCTAAAGATGACAACACATACAGAACCACATTAGCACTTCTGTCTTTTTAGTAGATAATTGAATAAAAATTTGCGAATCGAAAAAGATTTAGATAAAATGTTAAAAGAAAGACGAAATTCATCACACTAAGTGTTTACAAATATACGAGAAAAGTTTTAAAGTAAGTAAAAAATCTCACTCAAACAGTCAAATAATTTACGAGTGTCAAAATCAATTTTCTAATTCTCTGTACAGTGTTTATAACAGTGTTTGAAAAAGGGTTTTCAATCCGGAAAGTGTGAGCCTTTTACCAAATTTCAAAACATACAATATTTTTTCCAGTGTTACAAAGGAAAAAAATAGTTTTGCAATATGAAGTTCAGTCATGAAACTAGTTTTATATTTGTGAACGGTGCTCATAAAAGATGACGGGAGATCTTTGTCAAACATAATGTTGCTTATATATTAAGTAGGCGACACATTTTCAACCAGATTGATTCTTCTTTCTTTTGTACGCCATATTTCTACATAGCGTGGACGATCACACGCCTTGTCTTTTTATCCTTTTTATTTCTAGGCAAGATTTTGTACTTACTATCCCTCCTAGTTCCGCTTATCTCATCCACTTTTACAATCCCGTTAGTAAGTTTACTCGATGTTTTCCATTAGCTTTAACTTCATTATATCCTTTGAGTGTCAAATTCTCTATGCTATCTTTCTTCATTATGAGCACCATCGATCTCATTTTTTTCTTTCTGTGCTCTCATCTTCATTAAATGCATATTCATTGCTTAAATGTTCTGATATTCTCATTATGCTTCTGTAGAACCACATTTCTAATGCTTAAGTTCTCATCTT